AAATCCTCTTGATGTCGACTTATCTGGGTCGGGTGTATACTTGCGCTTTCGATTTCACGCTTCCGTTTTTACTTATAAATTATAAATCATGTTTACGTCATCCATTTATTTCGGCGTTAGTCATATGAGGTATTAAGGCCAAACGTCTTTACAATGTCAATGTTTGACAGCCGATTATTCTTCCGCGTTTTCTAAGAAATTCCGTTACTTTGTTTTGGAATATTTGTAACGAGCCTCTCTTGTATGTCACGCACCAAACTGCAGGCTGATTTTATTTCTCAGGTAAACTGAAACTTCTCCATGCTTTAACTAAACAAAGGCCTTTACGCTAGCATTAGTAAGATTCGACGGAAATATCCATGTTTAAAAAAGTTAGCGCAATAAAAATTCTACGTTGCTGTCAGTCAGTTAGCGAATTTATTTTCTAATTTATTCAGGACTAAAATAAGCTAAATTAGATGGCGATAGGTACGAAATCTTACTCAGCTATACATCAAATAAACAAATTGGCGTCAGTTTTTCATGCGTCTGTCCTGTTATTGATCATGAATTTTGTCATAACATTGTCAAAGTCGGCTGTGGATCCACGAGGCGATAGCCGAATGAATTTGACGATGCCATGACAAAATTCATTCTCAATGACAGGACAGACGCATGAAGAACTGACGTCAATTCATTTTTTACAATAACAAATTGTCAAATTGTCCGCTCTTGCAGTGACGAGTCACATAAATTATAAATTCATGTGTCTGTCCGCTTATTGACAATGAAAATTAGCCAATGAGCGCGCGAGAATTTCTGCAGTTATCGTAAAAACTGTTATGATACGTATTTTCTTTTACCTTATATTAGTGCTGTTTTCATTCTCTACTCAAAGTGCAATGCACTGACGCACGTACATAATCTGTGAGACGTCAGTAGCCTGCTGCCACAACACGGAAGCAGTTCAGTTCGTTATGAAATACATTTTCGTGGTAGCAGAGTTTCCACGAGCACCATGAAGACCGGCCATAAACTAGACTACTATCACGTTTACAGTGGCCTAGTTTGAAATATAGGTTCTGATTCATTGTAGAAAAAACGCGGTAGGCAATAAGCAGGAATATAAACAGCATAGCTCTTGCAACGTTCGAGTTTTAATTAATGAATCTAAAAATTCTGCGCTCGTGACTTATAAGTAATCCAATAGAAGAATCCGCCAGCATTTTTATCGTAAATTTTGTGCGAACCTGCAGATCTTGTCTCTGCCTAGCCTCTTCTTTAATTTGTCACGACTTTGCCCTTTCCCGCCTCGTCCATTGCCAGATCGAAGTCTTCATATTTTCTGGGGTCTTCCTTAACTTTAAGAAAGGCGTTACCCCTTGAAACACGCACTGACCAATTTCTCCAGTCTGCCTGAGTAGATACTCTCAGTTCAGTAGCCAAGCAATTCAATGCTGGAGGGAATTTGCTCGTTTTCTATTCTTTTTAATAAGTGTTCTTCTGTCTCCGACTTATTTGAAGTCATTCAAAGCTCTCAGTATAGATGACCTCCTTATAAAGAAACCTATGCCTTAAAAGGAAAGGTAACGAAATTTCGAGATATGGAGGGTGGAAAAATAATATGATGAGAAGATCGGTGGGGGCTTCTTTCTTGAGTGATTTTTTTGGAAGCAGTGAGTGTGACCTAGTTTGATATTCAGTTTTATTTTATTTTCAGAGAGTGCTTTAATGTTTTAAATTACATGCAGTGTGAGATTTTATTGGACCCGAAAAGAACAAAGTAATGTAAGGAACAGTCCACAAAGAAGTTTTTGACCTCTATTTGATGGCCTAATTGTCGGATCTAAAACCATGACTGGAAATAAGTTTTGCGTAACTTTAACGAATGCATAGTTTACAGCCAACTAAAGGAAACCTTGTCATTTGATTGTTAGACTTAAGCAAATAAAGACATTCGAAACTATTGAGCCTTGGCTATACATGGATATTTTTTCCCAGAAATTTAACCGAGTGAATGTAATGTTTAATTATTTTTTTACAAGCGTTTCGAAAGCCTTTGGGGAATCTGCATTGAACACTGATCATATGAGCGATAACCAGTAAGAGGTCAATCTCGAAAGCTAGTTTTGAACCGGGGGGGGGGGTGCTCCCTTATATGGACTATATAGGTATGTGCGGCCCCAAAGGGTATGGTTTTTCAGCTGTTTTGGTCATAAATAGAGTATCGATTTTAGCTGATTTTGGCCATTTTGGTCATAAATAGGGTGTGGTTTTTGCACTTTAGCCATGACATTATTATCATTATTATCGAAAAGAAAATCAACCAAAGCCCTTCTCAAATTATGTTTACGGTAATTTAACATTGGTCTGAACTAGGGAACTAATTATAACGCAGGTGTGAAACAGGGTTTTGATTTAAGGGTTAGGTCATAAATAGGGTTTCGAATTTTTTGGTTAGGTCATAAATAGCGTGGGGAATATCGCAGATTTTGGTCACAAATAGGGTAAGGGTTTTGGGAAGCGGACCGCACACCCCCACCCGATTTTACTGGGAGTAACCCCCCCCGGGGGGGGGTTCAGACAGCCTTGATTTCGTTTCCCAAAATACTTTTGGTATCGATTAATCTACAGAATTTTGATACTAAATAAGCTCTGAAATGGAGTATGTAGTATACAAAATAAATAATGCAAATGAACTTTGTCTTCAATTCTGAGAAAGCATCGCATTCGTTACGCAGGAGCAGTTTGCTACACAGCAACGATTCGATTGTGGCGAGCAACGATTCGATTGTGGGGTTAGCGTTTACTTCGTCGCTAAACAACGTTAACTATGGGTACTTATAACGTCGAAGGATCGAGTAAGAACATTTATATCTTTCGGGAGGATCACGACGCTCTGATAGATTTCGTTCATGGTCATCCGCAGCGACAGGCAACGGGAGATCTGTTTGGCTTGTGGACTACCGACGGGGAACCGGTAATACACATCGTTTGCCGACAACGTTTGTGTACAGAGAGAGGCTCAAATTTCGACGACATTACCCGGAAAGTTCGTCCTCTTTCCCATATTGGCAACTGGCGTTGTTATGATCCAGAAGCTCACCAAACGGACCCACACCAGTTAGGAAAAACAAGATGCAGTCATGAAACAAGAGGAAAATTTCTGGGCCTCGCAATCTCTATCAGTTCACAAACACAAGTCATAATGTCGCCTTGCCTATTCCGCTTTCAGAAACACAGTTCCTCGGCAACAGATGTCGAAAAGTGTAATTTCGAACTACTCGAGGCTGAAAACCCGTTCAAGAACATCGAAAAAATAAAAGAAATCGCTCTCAACAGTCGGTTGGACGATTATCTCAATGAAGGTCAAGTGGCTGAATCTCCTTCACAAGTTTCAAAAAGCTCCCCCTCAAATGCTCCGAAACACCAGGGCCACACTTCTGCACGTAAAGCTTTGTCCAGAAAACAGGTTGATAAGGCAGAAATTTCCGCCGGCATAGGTGCAAAGCAAAGTCATGCACTGTATTCGACAAGCAACCAGGGATTCCAAAGTGGCTTTGCAAGTAATCGCGATTTTAAGGTCTTCATGTTTAAAGAGGACTACCAAATGATGGAGAATCTCGTTCTTGAATACCCGCATCTTGAAACTGGAGGAGACCTGTTCGGTTTGTGGACCAGCAATGGTGACGCAGTGCTGCATGTTGTACTGGGCCCAGGTAGAAACTGCAAAAGGACAGGTGCCTCGTTCTACCAAGATATTCCATATCTAGAGCGAAACGGCGACCTGCTAACTCAGGATTATATGTTGTGCCACATTGGAGAATGGCACTCTCATCATCAACTGCGTCTCTTCGAACCAAGTGGAGGTGACTCGTC